AGAAGAAAAAAACTTTGAACATCAGTTTCATTTCAGGAAACTACAAAATTCGTCGTTTCTACTCAAAAAAAAGAAAGAAAGGCAAACTAGCGCAAAATTTACCTTTGCAAATGTAGAGCGGTGACTCGAGTGGTGAATTGAAGGAGCTGAATATTACTACCGGATCCAACAATGTTGTCTTTCACCAAGCTTGTCAGATCACCCTTAAGTAATGCCCGTATCGAATGCCCCTGCCCGTCTGTTAACCCCAACACAACCCCTTCAATTCCGTTAACCACAGCAATCGTCGTATTCAACACATGCAGCACCGGCATCATTTGTATTTCGGACGTCACATCTCCATTAGCAAGTTTCTTAACTGCTCCTGCCGTCAGAGAGATCGCCATCTTATCGAAATAATAAACAAAAACTGAAAAAAGAAACAACCTTTGGGATGCGGCAAGAGTCTTTAGTACTCGCCCTGTAAAAAAAAACAATACACAAACAAAGAACAATAAGAACAGACAAAACAATACACAACAAAGAACAATAACTACTATCATAACTTGCAACTAAGTGATTGCTTTCTTCATAGCAAATTCACATCTTAACAATTGTTGCTTAAGAGATTTAATCAATTAAAGATCGTTGACAAAATCCTGAAGTATACATTCATGCTCTTTAAGCTTCAATCAAAATGCCGTGGAACACTACTAGAACACAAAACAATAATTCAACAAGGCATGAAAATTTGCAGGTAGAATGGTTAATATCAGAAAATGAATAAAATTAACCCCTTAACAAGTCTATGCTTCCAGAGGTTAACACTAACTAATGCCTGAACCAATTAACAGAACAACTCGAAATCCTTAAATCAAAGGCGCAAGAAGAGACATGACGAACTTCAACATCAAGCGTATATACATTCAACTTTAATCTCGAAGAAATTCCAAGCAAGATAATCACCAATAACTTTGATTACGATATACTTCCTCAATTATAACCAATTAATACCCAAAATTATTCACTACATTATAATGGTCATCAAGAACAGAAAACTGTCCATTTTAAGACAATGAACACAAAACTAAAAGCTTCTGAGCTACAACCTAGAAAATCCATTTTACCAAAAAAAAAAAAAAAACCTAAAAATCCAAAAATCCATGAGAAGAACTAGCATAAAAACCAAGAGAAATCCACGGAATCGATATGATAACCGAAGATAAGGACTGAAATAATGAAATTAATGAAAGAATCGAACAATATGAAGAAACCAGCATCACATCTAAGGAAATAATCGAACAATCTGAACACGAATTAACGATAGATTGAGGAGTACAAATAGAGATTGAGATCGTACTCTGGAAAACTAATGAGGAGAAGGAAGACACGGAGAAGCCGAAGGATCTGCAGGGCAATTTTTTTTAATTTTTGAAGAAACGACAGAGAAACCTTCAACTCCTTCAACTTTAAGAGAGAGAGAGAGAGAGAGTTGAAAGAGTGTGAGGGAAAGAGGAAGAACAGACTCAAGCGAGAGAGAATAAAAGCTTGGGGCAGGCAGCTCTTCCCGCCTGTCATTTCAACTTTATTTCTTGTGTATTTTTGTCATAGCTCTTCCCACCTGCACACGTCACACGTCAACTTTATTTCTGTGATATAGTCAACTACATGCTTTGGTCAATACTCCTGATATAGTCGACTACATGACTCAACTACACTGTGATGTATTCGACTACATGCCTCAACTACATTGCTTGGTCAATAAGACATACCATAACTTTCAAGCACATGGGTTCCTTAGCCAGATATGATTGATGAATCAAGTCAAGCTCTATAAACACTAACCACATCGATGAAGTGCAAAATTTGGCTAAAGCTTGTGAAGGACTCTACTGGGGAAATGAATGAATTCTGGCTGGCTGGTTGACCTTTGGATTTTTCATTCGTCGAACTAGAAACTGATCCTGTAACAGTGGTCACTCAAAAGCAAAATCAGAACAACAAAATCAAACGCAGATCAAAATCTCCAAGTTGTGCAAAAGTTGTTTTTTGTTTTTTTTTTTTTGAAAAATTATAAATTAATAATTATAAATTTTTTGTATACATATTTATATCTATTATCTTGTATTTAACCACATAAACCTAATTTAAGATCTGAATAAGGTATGAATGCTCATGAACTGATGATGTATAACCACATAAACCTAATTTAAGATCTGAATAAGGATCATTTATATAGTCCTGTAATATAGTCGACTACATTCCGCAACTACACTGTGATATAGTCGACTATATGCCTCAACTACATTGCTTGGTCAATAAGACATACCATAACTTTCAAGCACATGGGTTCCTTAGCCAGATATGAATGATGAATCAAGCTCTATAAACACTAACCACATCGATGAAGTGCAAAATTTGGCTAAAGCTTGTGAAGGACTCTACTGGGGAAATATGTTCTGTTTTTTGGGATGTGAAATCAATGTTTAGTTGTCGATCGGTTTCTAACATCGTGTATATAATTGGTGGCTATTTGTAGGCTTGCTTTATTTCTTGGGTTTTACATTGTTTTAAGCTAATTAGTATATTATGCATTTCTATAACTAGTTGGTATGTACGGTTGATCCTTTCAATACATTGGAAAATTTTAATCCCTTGTTCATTTACCTTAGTGCGGAGGATGAAGCCAATGCTCAGGCTGAGGCTCAGGCTCAGGCTCAGGGAGATCTTCATATTCCAATTTGTGTTATCCCTAATATTGAAACCTTGAGCACCAAGATGAAACTGAAGAT